TCTTGATATCCATCAAGGCCTCTTGTGGCTCCAGATGTCCAGGCAGCCAGGGCAGGAGTGGTCCCTGGAAGGGGTGTGGCTGAGACCAGAAAGGTGGGTACTGAAGGGGCAATGGGGTGGGAGGCACAGCTTGGGACACCCACATCATTAAATGCCACCACCCTGACCTTTCCTCTTTGGTGACTCTATTCAAAACTCACCTGAGGAGTCCTTATTCAAGGATCCAGGAACCATGTTCAAGCCTTTTCTCTCTTTGAGTTGGTGTGCCCTCTGTCTAACAGGCTGGAGTGCAGTGGCACGCTCACCGCCACCCTAGTGTCGACCTGCTGGGCTCAGGTGATCTTCCACCTCAGCCCGCCAAGTAGCTGGAACTACAGGCGCACGCCATCACGCCAGACTAATTATTTTCTTAATTTATTGTAGAGACAAGGTCTTACCAAGCTGCCCTGGCTGGTCTAGAACCCCTGGGCTCAGGCAATCCTGTCACCTCAGCCTCCCAAAGTGCTGGGCATATAGGCTTGAGCCACCGCGTCTGGCCTGGTTTTCCTCTTTTTGACTTGGGATCTCACTCTGCCACCCAGACTGGAGTGCAATGGCACGATCACCGTCACCACAGACCTTGACCTCCTGCGCTCAGGCGATCCTTCCATCTCAGCCTCCCGAGTAGCTGAGACTCCCGGCACATGCCCCCACACCCAGATAATTTTTTTGATTGTCTTGTAGAGATGAGGTCTCACTATGTTGCCCAGGCTGGTCTCGAACTCCTGGGCTCAAGCGATCATTCCACCTCGGCCTCCAAAGTGCTGGGATGACAGGCGTGAGCCACCATGCCCCATTGGTCATTGTGCTTTTCTATTCTTTTTTTCTTTTGGATCCAAACAGTTGATTCCAAGTTGCCCCCAGGGATACATTCACTCCGTGGCCAAGCCTGCAGTTGATGACATGTAATTTGGGGTCAGTTGCCACTACCTTCATTTAAAAAAAATAAAATTTTCAAAGCATCTTATAGGCCAGAGAGCTAAGCTAGATCCTTACTCAGACATTCGAGAGTTTTCTGAGGAAAACTCAGGAGGAGGAAACACAGCGAGCATCTTCCCACCGGTGTCAACAAAGGGACGAGGCAGGGGCAGCTCCTCTGCCGGCAGAAGGGAAGACTTGGCCGTGGGAGCTGCACAGAGGCATCTGGAGCTCCAGGGTGGCCCAGGACTGGGCTGATTGACCCTGTGTTCACCTGAAACTGAGGCAGGGGCAGGACACGGGTGACAAGAGTCAGGCCCATGGCTCCCACCGCAGCCAGAACCGCGAGAGCCACCACACCCATGCAGTAGACAGGAGATGGCAGACAGGCCATGTAACCAGGCCAAGCCACCACCCTGGAGGTGTTTCAGACCCCAGAGCCCAGGGTGGCAGGGTGGGGGTGAGAACTGGCATCCCCACCCCTGACTCCTGTGCCTCTGCCCTGAGAGATGGACACCACACAGCCCAGAAGGAAGAGAATCTCCACATCTGGGCACCCCTCAGGGAGGCATTCAGGGCCTTTCCACATGCCCTCGGGGGGCCTCACATATGCCTGGAGGTCCCTCCCACCTGCCACATTCTCAGGACTCAGGGGAACTGAAAGCTCTGAGGCGAGCACCCTTCAGCTGGCCCTGGCGATGCCCAGACGGGTTGGTCATGAGCCTGCCATGCCCTGGCATCTACACATCGACTCTGCCAGAAAACCAGAGTGCCGGTGTCCTGCATCCTATGACCTCCAAGCCCCCCATACCAGCCCAGGCAGCAGAGGCCACACATATGCAACCAGGGCATCTGGTCAGGGTTGCTCTGGGTCCCAAAGCTCTGCTCATGGGACTCGCAGAGTCTTCTGATGCCATGTCTCCTCACCTCCCACCCAGAGGCTCATGGGCTGTAGGCCTCTAGGCCCCATGGGGAAGCTGGCAAGATTGCAACTGTTCCTGGGTTGGCTATCTGCCTTCTCTTGTGTTTGTGATCACATCTCAGGTGTTTTTTGACAGGAAATGGGGAAAATCACTCCCTTTTCCAACATCTTAAAAACACTCAAAACCTGTCCTCAGAGGTCAGGTCCACGCTGGCCATCCCTGTGATAGCCCCTGGCCCCACCGCCCACTGGAGCCCCTCACAGAGGCTCCTGACACCTGAACACACACCCATGGGGACCGTAGTGCCCATCCCCACTTGAGGACAGGGGCCCCCCAGTGCCTGCAGCTGGTGGTCACCCATGCCACCCTACCTCCTCAGAGGACCTTAGCACTGGCAGGATGTGCGACATAGGGTGCTGGCTTCTGGGGATGGCGGGCGAAGGCTCAGGCCTGCCCCAAGATGGCCAGATCCACCCACACCTGCAGCAGGCCACACACGGAGAAGCCCAGAGTCTCCACAAATAGGGCCGAGGCGTTGGACATGTAGGTGACATGGCCCGCCACACCTGTGAAGGCCAGGACACCCTGCACCTAGTCCGCAAAGCTGCACCCCTGCCGGATGTGGTGAGGGTCGAAGTCAGCACCAGACACATGTAGGTGGAGAAGCCATCAGCATTCTGCATTCTCCAGATGTCCCTGTACCGCAGGATGTAGGGCACCACCCTGCCGAAGACCACGGCCCCGGCCACCTCCCAGAGACCAGCCGGTGCAGCCACAGGACCAGGAGCCAATCCAGGCCCTCGGCCTCTATCCCATATGTGCGCACCGCGGCTGGTGGGACCTGCTCTCACAGGCTGAGGTCACCGCAGGGGGACGGCCACCTCTGCATGCTGCCATCCACGCCAGCTCCACCCGTGGGGCCAGTGCCCTCACTGGTGCCCTGTTCCTCTCTATGCTTTTCAAGTGTTTCACAAACACCCTTGTTGACACCCCTGTTGGGTGTCAGATCAATTACTGGGCCACCCTGTGTGTTGGTTTCTGGGTCTGCCTAGCAATGAGGTGACACACAGGTAGTGTATGTTAGACACAAACCTGGAATTTGCACATGCTCCGTACATAAACCCTTAAGCCTGGTGCCCACGGTGAGCCCTGCAACCCAGATGCCCACATGGCTGACCACTCGGGGCATTCTCCTGTGTGGTGCCATCAGCCCTGTCTTTGCCCTCTTCAGTGCAGCCAGTGCCACGTGGGCTTTTGGTTTCAGACCACTGGTGGCGGAACCGTGCTGGACATCCTGCCCAGGGTTCCAGAGACTGACACTTGGGAGTTCCCCCGGTAGTGAGAATACTGGCTGTCAGGAGCAGCCGGCCCCCATGGCCCACGCCTGTCATTCCCGTACTTTGGGAACCAGAGATGAGAGGATTGCCCGGGTCCGGGGTTTCAAGACCAGCCAGGGCAACTCAGTGAGACCTCATCTCTACAATAAATTAGAAAGAAAATTAGCCAGGTGCAGTGGCACATGCCTGTGATCTCAGCTACTTTGCACAGTGAGGGTGGGAGGAGGGCTCTCGCTCCCTGGGTGTGTGGGGGTGCTGGGGGGGGACAGGCCTGGCCTGTGGTCAGCCTGAGCTGCTAGAAGGCTTCCCTGAGCTGGGAGTCCCCCGGCCCTGGGTGCTGCCTGGCCATCCATCTGACTCTATCCTCTGGGACCTGTGAACGGTGGACAGCAGTCTTCCTTCGCTGCTGCCTGGGGCCTGCATCCAGGTGCCCCCACCCCTCCTTCAGGGGCACCCTGGGCTATCCCAGACCTGGGGAAGGTCGACTTTCTGACCTTGGGGCCTGGGTCCCAGGGACGCCGGCCTCAGAGTAGCTGAAGGAAGGTGTGGGCCGGGGGCAGTGGGTTGAGCCATCCAGCCTGGGGTTTCCCTTCTGGGGGACAGTGACTGGTCAGCATGGGCCGGGGAGCTGGGTGCCATGCCCCTGCCCCACATCCATCCAGTCTGGAGCCCTCTGTGGGTAGCACCACCCTCAGCCCCTGCCGCCCCATCGCATGGTGGCAGGACCCCTCCCTCCCAGCACTGGCTCCTTGGGGTGAGTGGGCCGCCCCCTGTTCCCTACCTCTGCACCCTCTTGGGGCCCCCTTATCCCCACCCAGGAAGACCTTCCAAGAAGAGAACGCGCAACACGTGTGTCCATTTATTTCAAGACGAAGCACAGACATATCCCCAGATTGGGAGGGGGGGAGACGAGGACACGGGTATAAAAAATTGGAAACAAAACCATCAGTCACAGCTCGATGGCGCCGTCACGACATGGCTTAAGGCTCCGTACATATAGACCTACATATACACGCTGACACACACGCACATACACGCACACGCAGAGGGAAGCCGACACAGGGGCTGAGGCCGGACACGCCTGCCCACCTGCAGCCTACCTGGAATATTGCATGGAGTTTATTAAAAAAGTGGAAAATGGGAAGACAGCATTGGTCTGAGCAGTGGCGACCTCGGGGACCCGGGAGGCGGAACACGGGGCAAGCCAGTCCCCGGTCCTGCATCTGCCCCAGCAAGCAGACCCATCTGTGTCCAGGCTGCGGGGACATGGAGATTCCAGAACCTTCTACACTGGGTCCCCATCAAACAGAACATGCCAGGGTGAAAAAGCCAAACATCCTCCCTGGGGCAGCCCCACCCTGTCCCCAGGAGGCCCGGGCCTCAGGGCATAGCAGGGCACTCCTGGCCCCTGAGGGCTCCCGGCTGGCTCCTCCAAGCCTCCCACCCACCGCCCGCCCCTGGGGCGTAACCCCCCAGAGCCCGGGCCCTCGAACCACGGATGCGTTGACCCCATGTGGTAAGCAAAGGCTGGACTGGGAAGGTCGGGGCGAGGTGACCAGGCATGTGCGCAAGCTCCATTTGGCTTTAGCGTTAAGGCGGGTGCTGGGCCGAGGGCCCTGTGGCGCCCTTGCGGTCCCCAGGTCCCTCCTGCGGTCCTTCTGCGCCTGGGCCCCGTCATAGAGGCCGGGCCTCCCTGCCTCCACAGGGCAGGTTAAAGTGCTGGGTGCCTGGGGGAGGGCTCGGGGCTGGCCAGGAGTTCTGCGGGCAATGACCCCGCTGCCTCTTATTTGAGAACGTAGTTGACAAACAGCTGACACGCCAGGAACACGCAGAGCAGGAACCAGGAGCGGGGCCCCTGCAGGAGGCCTGGGACCGGCGTCTGGGCAGCCCGCTCCGTGCAGCTCAGCATGGCCGACAGGTGCCTGCAACGACAGGGGACATGTGGTAGGGGCTGTGCTGGGGCCAGCAGGGTCTGCCCTCCCGCAGGCTGAGAGGGGTGTCCCTGGATGCCCACCAGGTGCTGGACATGGAGTGGAGATGGGGCAGGAAGGTGCATCTGGTTTTATTATTATTATTATTATTATTTTTGAGTTGGTGTCTCACTCTATCACCCAGACTGGAGTGCAGCGGCTGCTCCCGGCCACCGCAGCCTTGACCTGCTGGGCTCCGGCAATCCTTCCGCCTCAGCCTTCCGAGTAGCTGGAACTACTGGAGTGCGCTACCACTCCCGGTCAATTTTGATTTATTGTAAAGATGAGGTCTCGCCAAGTTGCCCAGGTGGGTCTCGAACCCGTGGGCTCAGGCAATCCACTCACCTCAGCCTCCCAAGTCGCAGGATTACAGGCTGAGTCACTGAGCCCGGCTGTATCTCGTTTTAGAGACGCTGGTGCCAGTGGGGATGGGGGCCCATTAGGGGGAGGGCTCCGGGGAGCAGTGGCTATGCTGGGCTTCCTGGGACACTTTCTGGGGAGGGAGATCAGGGCTGGGGGTGCTGGCCTCTTGCCACCTCCCTCCCACCCCTGAGGCTATGGCTGAATTGCCCTCCTCCCCAAAATCATATGTTGAAGTCTAGTCCTCTGTGATGGTCCGAGCAGACGCGCCTGCCCTGGACTCTGGCATCAGTCATGGGTCTGGGGGGCAGCGGGAGTCTCTGGGAGCCTGGCAGCAGGCCTCCTCACAGGAAGGCATCCTTCCCATCTCTTTCCCCGCTCAGCCTCGCAGGCATGGCGGCTCTGCCGCGGGTCCAAGGAAGGGCAGCGGCCTCCCAGGCAGGCCTCGCTGGCCACAGCTGTGCCCGCCGTCCTGGCCCTGCCTCCTGTGCCCACGCCCTGCACCCAGCAGAGGTGAGTGTGCTCCCGCCAGGGCCTGAGGGGACCCCGGGGGCACCACTCTCAGCCCCATTTTACAGAGGGGAGACTGAGGTGGGCCAGGGCTGGACGCCCTGGCTGCTGAGGCCCTCAGGCTGGCTCTGGACCCAGAGGGACCCTGTGTTCTGCTCCGCCTCTGTGGCATCATGCTAGGGGTGGCCACCAGGGGAACTTGCCACCCCCCCATCCTCCTGCAACCAGTCCTCTGAGCTGCGTGCCCAGGTGTGGGTGAAACCCAGAGCCCAGGTGGCCCTCTGGCTCCGTGCACCTGGGGGTCTCTGCTGAGAGCCACACCAGGCCCAGGCAAGGCCAGTGCGGTCCCCGAGGCTCCAGCGAGTCTCAGGCATGGGGTCTACCTGGCAGGACCAACTCACGTGTTCAATGCAGCCCCCACAAAGGAACCCCGGGCACTCCTTCTGGCTGTCACCCTGTAGACCTCTGCAGGCCCTGTGAGTTCTAGCTCCCATGATCCCCTGGGCCACAGCCTCCCTGGCACCCCTGGCGTCCCTGGCCTCCCTCCCCGGTCTCCTTCCCTCCGGACCTTCCCGCCTACCAGGCCCACCTATGCAGCTCCTGCTGGGCCTCGCGGATGGACAGGATGGCCCCGTGCAGGGCCTGCAGTCGCTGTGCCTCTTTCCTGCACCGAGGGCACGGGCTGTCGCTGCCTGGGGCAGTGGGGGCGGGGGAGACAGAGGGGAGAAGCTGAGTGAACGGGAGGTGGGGGCTGGCGTGGGCGTCAGGGTCACATGGGCTCGGCCCCACCCACCTCATGGGAAACCCACAGAGCCAGGGGACAAACACAGGGAGGCCGGGAAGGGGCGCTGAGGACATCCGGGGGGAAGACCCCAGCTCAGCTGGCCTCCAACAAGCCTGGGTGACCGATGTGACCAAGGTGTGGTGTGTCCACTGCAGGAAGACACGGGCAGTCGGGAGACACCACTGCCCGGTGAGAACAAAGATGTGGGTGCCCCGGGGGGTGCAAGACCAAAGGGGCAGGCGGGGACGCAGGCCCCCTCCTCCCCTGTCCCATCACGCCCCTGGAGGACCCCTGGGCTGCTCCGGATGCTGAGTGGGCTGAGTCCACCAGGAGGACCATCAGGTGGGCAGAGAAGCCTCTCTGCCAGGGAGGCCACCCCACCCTCCCGGCCAGGCCCGAGGGAGGACCCACCAGGGCCAAAGTCGCCGTCCTGCTCCTCGTCCGAGAGCTCGGGGCAGGACTCAGGCGTGGAGCTGCTGCTCTCGGTGACCTGGCTGTGGCCCGAGGGCTGGTCGCTGGCCTTCCGCAGCTTCCGGTCTGGGCCGGGCCTCTGCAGAGAGGAGAGTCACTGCAGCCCAGAGCCTACCCGCACCTGCCTGCCCACGGGAACACGGCTGCCAGGCCACGTGGAGAGGTGGCCGGCAGTGGCCAGCAGGGGCTCGAGTCTCGGCCCGGCACAGCCTGGCATGGTCACAGCCCCCTCTGGGCCTGTTTCCTCATTGGCTGACACCTCGCAGGGGTGAGCGCCAGGGAGGTTGCGCAGACAGGCCTGCCTCGTGACACACAGGTGACGCTAGGGGCCGTGGGTGGTTCTGATGCCTGAGCCAAGAGGGCAGGTGAGGCTCAGGTCGCTGAAAAGCTAGTGGGTTCATGAGAACCCGGACGTTCAGGGCTGCCCATGCCGAGGGACGTCTGAGGAGGGACCGGCAGGTGTGGCCTAGGCATCCACCCAGCAGTGACTTGGCTGGCAGGGAGCCCCAGACACAAACCCGCTCCCAGGGGTGAGAGAAGCAGTCTGGACTGGGGGACACCACGTGACAGCTGGCCTGGGGGCCAGGACACCATCAGGTGGGGCAGGTGGGGTCAGAGCCAGGGAAGGTGGGTTTGGACACAGGTGACCCCCCACGACCACCTTGGGACGGTTCTTGAGGCATGGTGAGGCTGAGGCAGACTTCCAGGCTAGGGGGAGGAAGCAGGGGACAGCGGGTGGCGGGGGATGGGGGTGGGGGTGGGGGGTTGGACACCTGTTGGGGATGGGCTGGAGAAGCTGAGGAGTGGCTGGGGAGGAGGGGGCTGGAGCCAAGAGGAGGTCGAAGGGGTGGACGGTCTGAGGTGGAGGGGTGGTCATTGCCTGCAGACAGAGGGGCAGCAGGTGGGGACCCGCCTCCCCAGGGGGCATCTCCCTCCTGCTTCTCCTCCCCAGGGGGTGTCTCCCTCCTGCTTCTCCTCCCCAGGGGGTGTCTCCCTCCTGCTTCTCCTCCCCAGGGGGCATCTCCCTCCTGTTTCTCCTCCCCTGGGGGCGTCTCCCTCCTGCTTCTCCTCCCCAGGGGGCGTCTCCCTCCTGTTTCTCCTCCCCTGGGGGCGTCTCCCTCCTGCTTCTGCTCCCCAAGGGGCATCTGCCTCCTGCTACTCCTTCCCTGGGGGCGTCTCCTTCCTGCTTCTCCTCCTCAGGGGGTGTCTCCCTCCTGAGGCTTATGCCCCTGGGCAGGCAGAGGGCAGGGCACACGCCAGGAGGAAGTCCTGAGAAGTCCCTCTGTGTGTGGCCCCATCCTCACCAGTGAGATGAACAACCTCCACCCTGCCTGCCGGGTGAACGCCGGCCTTGCCTCTGCACACAACAGGTGTGATTTGGCACACCTGGAACACGGACAGGTGAGTCGGTGAGTGAGGCACCCCCTGGTGGCCACCCCTGGCATGGCACCACAGAGGACATCTGGTCCACCAACTTCACCTTGTCCCAGCAGCTCCTCCCCACCCCTCCCTGGGGCCTCCCCACCTTCCCTTCCATCCTTCCCATACCCAAGGTCTGTGCAGGCGCCGTCCTCTCACTCCTCCCCCACCACTGGGCAAGGCCCCAGGCTGACCCAGCCTCAGTTTCCTCACCAGTGGGATGGGACCATGTGGCCACTAGTTTGTCAATGAGCAAGGAGCCAGGAGACCCCTGGCACAGCACGCCCTACATCGGGGCGCCCCGAACTGAGCCTCCTGCAAATCCAGGTATTCCAGGTCCCAAAACAGGCGGGGAAGGGGAGGCTGGAGCTGGAGGAGGTCCCCCCTGGGATCCAGGGCTAGGAGGGTGACCATGGGGCCAAGGAACAGTAGGGTGAGGGCGTGGATGACGGCCACACCTACAGCCAGGAGCAGCCCTGGGCGGAGGGGTGAGACGGGAGTGCTGACCTCATGCCTAGGCCCCGGGCTGCCCAGGAAGGCGGTCTGGCGGGCCACGGCCACACGTCGCAGGGTGTGCAGGACACCGTCTTGCTCAAACTGGGCGATGTCTTTCTGGGGGTCCCAGGGGCTGCGGCTGGAGGGTCCAGAGGCATCGTGGGCAGAGGCAGTGGCCCCCAGGTCAGGGCTGTCCTGGCCCCGCCCTCAGTCTCCCACTGTCCACACCCCATGCGGTAAGGGTGGGGATAGGGGATGTGGGGGCTCGTCTGACCCTCCCTCCCCCCACCAGCTCCTCCAGGGCTAAGGCAGGAAGGGAAGCCCGAGGCCCCCAGGACCTCCTGGGGTCCATGCCGGGCATGGGTCACCCAGACATCCACAGGCCCAGCCCCCCACGGCCCCAGGACTGCCACCAGCTGCACTCACTCCTCATGTAGGTAGCGCCACTCCTGGGAGACGGGGTCCAGGTGGAACAGCCGCGGCCTCCAGGGCGCCAGGCCCTGCTGGCGCTCACGGCCACGCTGCCGCTGGGCCTCCTCCAGTGCAAACTTCTCCTGTGTGGCCCGGTGCTGATCACCCTCGCTGATGGCCCTGGTGACGTGCTGCCAGAGCCTGGGGGCCAGCGCAGCACCCTGAGCCCCGGCAGTCTGGAACACGGCCCCTCGGCACTGTGGGGAGGGGGCTGGCGGGAGGCTCACCCCCAGCGCAGAAACCCGCGTGGGTCACCTGCCGGCCGTGAGGAGTGGAGCAGGCCTGCCCTTCTCCAGGCCCCACCTCCTGCGAGGGGACGACTCCGGGGACCCGCTCATGGGACCCTGGGCACGGCGGGCCTCACCTCTCAGACTCCAGATCCGTCTGTTCCTCCAGCAGTACCGTGTGGCGCTTCAGCCTCTGCACGCGGACCTCGCCTCTCGGACTCCAAAAGAGCTCGGGGCTGCTGCTCCCCTCCTCCTTGATGAACACGTCCCGGTCCTGCCCCAGACGGCAGGTGCGGTCAGGGGTGCTGGCCCGCAGTGACCACCCAGTCACGCCAGCCCCAGGGACGGCTCCTTACCCAGTGACCCATGAGGTTGGCCAGGACGTCCTCTCCCAACATGATCCTTCCCGAGATCTGGTTGATGCTGGTGTTTCCCCCAAAGAACGGCTGCAGGGCACATGCCGGATGGGGCGTGGGTGGGCGAGGATCCCCCAGAGCCCACAGAATGTCTGGCTCTCACAGAGTGCCCAGGACACTCTCCCCGATGCCTCCCTAAGCTGCAGGATGCAGGGGCCCCGCCTGGGGCCTGTCCCGGTCCGCTGTGTGGCCTGCAGGCAGCCCTTGCCCTCTCTGGGCTACGTCTGTGCTGCAGGATGCTAGGAGCTGCTCTCCCCCATGGCCACTTTCTTGGGGAGACCTGCTGGGGCACGGGACAGTGGGAGGGGTCCCCAGGCTCGCTCTGTCCCTGGCTGAGCCCTGCACCTTGCTGTCCCAGGCTACAGCCGGCGCTACCTTAAGCTTGAACTCCAGCTCAGCCCGGAGGTTATTCTTTGCACACTCGATGGTCACCTTGCCGCCCAGCTCCATGGTCATCGTGCCATACAGGAGTCCTGCAATGCAGCCGGTGGAAGGGTCAGGCCACCCGCCCTGCTGACCCCTGGTGGGCCCGTGTCGGTTGCCAGGAGGGCGAGAGGGGACCAGAGAGGATAGGAGCTCCCGGGAGCACAGCCTCACATGGAGGGGCTTGTGGGGGACACAGAGGCAGAGACGGCCTGGTCCCTCAGTGACCATGTCCCCCAGGAAGGGGACTCCGTGCTCGCCAGGGCCTAGGGGTTGCCTCCTGTTCCAGGCTCCCAGGAGCCTCCCGCCCCCTGCGAGATGCGTGTCACAGCCTCACTGGGCTCTGCCATTCCTGTTCTAACATCCATTCCCCAGGGCAGTGCCCAGCATGGAGGGGGCACCAGGACCCAGGATGAGACCCAGCGTAGAGTGGGCAGCCAGTGCCCAGGATGATGCCCAGGACAGAGTGGGCGTCAGCGCCCAGGATGGTGTCCAGCAACAAGTGGCACCAACACCCAGAACAGCATCCAGCACGGAGCAGGCACTGCACCCACGATGAGGCCCAGGACAGCGGGCACCGGCGCCCAGGATGGCACGCAGCACAGAATGGGCACCAGCACAGGAGATGATCCCCGAGACAGAGTGGGCGTCAGCCCCCAGGATGGCATCCAGCCCAGAGTGGTCACCAGCACCCCGAACAGGACCCGGCATAGAATGGGCACCAGTGCCCAGGACGACGCCCAGAACTCTTGAAAACATGAATACGTCTTTTTTCCAACCAATGAAGGGAAGAACGCATCCTCCCTCCCTGGCCAGCGGGGCAACGCCCTCTAGCAGAAGCACCGCTGTCCCCCGTCCAACACTTCCACTCGGAAACATTTAGCGACGCGGGGTAGGGTTCATCTCTCTCAAGAACGGAAAGCAAGACAGGCTTTCTTCAGTAGCCGAGGCTTGAAGCCCACCAAGGCCCTCCACGGGGTTGGTCAGATGCCGTGGCCTGCACCGTGGGAAAGGAGACAGTTCAGAGGAACAGGCCAGATCTCTGTGCCATTCTGGGGGTCTCCGGCCTCCGTGGAGACACGAGAAAGCCAGAGCAGCGGGTGGCTCCAACCCTTCACCGGGGCCAAGAGACATGAGATAACTCTGACCGCACCTCGTTTTGTAGTTCCAACTTTGGAACCAGTTAGATGTTTTAAGTATAAAAAATTATAAGAAAATTTTAAAAATCAAAAATGGGCCGGGCATGGTGACCTGGAGGCTCAGGCCTGTCATTCCAGCATTTTGGGAGGCAGAGGTGAGAGGACTGCCTGAGCCCGTGGGTTCGAGACCAGCCTGGGCAACATGGTGAGATCTCGTCTCTACCATTAAATTTAAAAATTAGCTGAGTGTGGCAGCACACGCCTGTAGTTCTAGCTACTTGGAAGGCCGAGGCGGAAGGATGGCTGGAGCCCAGTGGGTCGACGCTAGGGTGGCCGTGAGCTTTCCACTGCACTCCAGCCTGGGCAACGGAGTGACACTCCGACTCAAAAAATCAAGTATCAAAAAAAAAAAAAAAATCAAAAAGAAAATGAAAGAAAAAACCTGAATGGGGTATCGGTGAGTGGCATAGTCTCAGAGGGCAACTCTTCCAGGTGACTTTAAAAATCCCAGCAGGGCCAGGCGTGGTGGCTCACACCTGTCATCCCAGCACTCTGGAAGGCCGAGGCAGGAGGATTGCTTGAGCCCAGGAGTTCGACACCCACCTGGGCAACACAGCGAGACCTCATCTCTATAAAAAATAAAGTAAAAACTTAGCCAGGCATGGTGGCCCAAGGCTACAGTCCCAGCTACTGGGGAGGTTGAGGCAGAAGGATCACCTGAGTCCAGGAGGTCGAGGCTGTGGTGAGCCGTGATCATGCCACTGTGCCCCAGCCTGGGCGACAGAGTGAGACCCCGACTCAAAAAAACCAAATGGAATTACTCACCTTTGAGAGGTCATGGACAAGTGAGCGTGAGACCGAGACCATCAAACAAATACGAACCACGGGGATCTAACACCCAGCTGGCCCCTCACCTTTGCAGTGGGCGAAAGGCATGGTGAGCAGGTAGTCCTCTGCACGGGGCAGCAGGGTGAGCGTGGCCTTGCCATCCAGCAGGGCCGACAAGGAGTTCCCTGCAGAGACAAGAGGCAGCGGAACCCAGGAGGGCAGACAGACTCAGGTACCCGGGGCCAACGCTGAAGCTGGGTCTGAGCTCCTCCCGGCACCTCTGGATATGTGAATGTGGGGAAGCCCCTTAACCTCTCTGAACCCCAGACTCCATCAAAGCCCTGTCCAGTTTTCATGGGACCTCTGTCCCGAGAGGTTGTCCAACTTGCACATCGGAATGATTCATTGCAGTTCCTAGGCCAGGGCCTCTCAGGCCTGGGAGCCTTTCGAAGTATCCTGAGCCCCTGGAATCTTTTTTTTTTTTTTTGAGTCAGAGTCTCACTCTGCTGCCCAGGCTGGAGTACAATGGCATGCTCACGGCCACCGAGGCCTTGACCTGCTGGGCTCCGGTGATCCTTCTACCTCAGCCTTTCAAGTAGTCAGAACTACAGGAGTGCACCACCATGACCAGCTAATTTTTTGATTTATTGTAGAGATGAGGTCTTGCCAAGTTGCCCAGGCTGGTCTCGAACCCATGGTCTCAGGCA